GAAATTTTTTTTTTTTAACTATTAGAATAAAAGAACTCAGGGCCTCCCTGGTGGCACAAGGGGTTAAGCACAGCACTAAGAAGCAATCCGCAGCCTCTGCAGCAGGAGTTGGATTCCCACACAGCCAGGGAGCTGCCGACATGGTGCAGCAGACCTCTCCTGTCTCTCACCCGCTGCTCCCCTCAGCAGTGTATTTAAGTCAATCTACTTGTTCTGTTCCCCACTCTGTCTCTGTGAATCATCTCACCCTCCCACGCATCTGGCCTGGACCCCAGTTCTTGTATAAATAAAATAAATCTTTAAAAAAATATGTATATACTTTGATATTCATCAAAATTAAAAACTTTTGTGCATCAGAGAATACTATGGAAAAAGTGAAGACAAATCACAAAATGGAGGGAAATATTCACAAATTATGTATCTATATTAAGGGATGAATGTATTTTACAAATGATTCCTACAACCAAAAAAAAAAGGCAAAAAACTGCATTAGACATTTCTCCGAAGACAAACAAATGGCCAATCTCATATAGAGATTCTCTAAATCACTAGTTAACAGGGAAATACAAATCAAAACTATAATGAGATTACACTTCACACCCATTAGGAAGACTATTATCAAAACAACAGAAAATAAAATGCATTAACAAGAATGTGCCGAAATTAGAACCCTTATACACTGCAGGCGGTGGTATATAATAGCGCAGCCATTGTGAAAAACAGTTTGGTGGTTCCTTAAGAGAGAAAATACTGATTCCCACATCAAGGTACCTACCCACAAGAAGTGAAATTACGAAGTCTAACTACTATACACCAATATTTACAGCAGCACTATGCACAAGAGCCAGAGGATGGAAACAACCCAAATGTTTATCAATAGATGATTTGACACTTACTATGGTATATACCTACAATGAACGGAATTTATCCAATCCTGAAAAAAAGAATGAAATTCTGACACATGCTACAAAATGGGTGGACAAACAAGATATTATGCTGAAGTGAAATAAAACACAAAAGAACAAATACGGTACAAATTACACTTACATGAAGGTATCTCAAATAGTCAAATTCATAAAAACAGAAAATAGAATGGTAATTAGGAGGCGGTTGTGGGAGAGGAAAATGGGGGAGTTTTTTAATAGGTACAGAGTTTCAGTTTGGGATGATGAAAAAGTTTTAGAGATGACAGAGATATAGATTGCACAACAATGAATGATTTGACGCCACAGAACTATACACTTTAAAATTGTTTAAACTTTTCATTTTATGTTGTGTAAATTTTATCACAAATACAGTCAGACAAACCCTTGAAGTTTTCTTGCAAGGCCCTGCAAGATCTGAGCCTCTGTTATCTCAATGGCCTTCTCTCCCACTATAATAAAACCTTATGAAATGGGAACATCTCACCCTAGGACATTTGCCATTATCAGTAGTATTTAACACTTAAAATTGTACATGACATTTTGACAAAGGCATTTTCTGTGGTAGATTATAAACACTGTAAAATGTGAGTGGGGCAGAAAATGAGTAGTAATAATTTATAGTTTGCAATGAATAAAATTTATTATGTAGTATTTATTAAAATGAAAGTTTCAGTGATTCTTTTACATATTCACAAATGTCTACATTATGGGGACTCCAATTTACCTACTATGGCATAAAAGGCAGTATACTTAATGGTAAGAACAACCTGGGTTAAAATCATTCCTCACTTTCATGCTGACTTTGGAAACCATTCCTCTCTGACTCTTCATGATTACATCAACTGAAAATGATTACAAAAATCACCTTTACCTTCCTTGAAACCCCATATTTTATTCAAGTTCATTCTATTTCCTGATTCAAATACTAAACTATTACTATACGATTTTTGCCTATAGCATTCAGTTGGTATATAGCATGTGCTACTATTTCTTTTTAGGGGGGAATTAGAAATATATTGCCTAGGGCCTCCCCGGTGGCGCAGCGGTTGAGCACTGGGTTGCGAAGCTGCCTGCAGCCTCTGCAGCGCCGGTTCGATCCCCGGCTGCTCCCCGGCCACCAGAGGAGGGTCCCACATGGCGCGCAGACCTCTCCTGCCGCCCGCTGCTCCCCTCAGCAGTGTACTTCGGTCCTTCTGCCTGCTCTGCTCCCCGCTCTGGCTCTGGTGAATTCTGTCACCCTCCCACACTTCTGACTGTACCCAGTGCATGTATAAAAACAAACAAACAAAAACAAACAAAAAAAAAGAAATATATGCCTATATTCTCCTAATTACATCCACATGTAAAGGACATGCCTAAAAGACTGTTGTAGGATCTCAGTACTTCCAATAACGGTAAATTGAATATAGGCTCAAATAACTACCACGTGTATGTTCAAAATGTCCAAAGGCTTCCCTTGTTTATAAATAAGAATAAAAAGTACAAACTCCTAATCATAGCATTCAAAGCTCTCTGGAAGACACTGCACACATGCCTTTCCAATCTTTTCTTACCACAAAAGAAGTTTCTCTTTTCCCTCTTCTCCCACTGAATTTTCTTTGACTTCTCTTACAATAAGCAACACCTTCTGCTTATAGTTCCCAATTTAAAACTCAGAGTACTCTTACTAGAGTATAAGCACTTCAAAGCAGGAAACTTCTCTGGGTTCATCTCTTTTTCCCATGTGGGAAATAATAAACTAACTCATACAGAAGAATAATAAATGTTTATTAAAATGAGAATAAAGCGTGCTCAGGGATTCCTTAAAAGAAAAAAGTGATTTGTTGATCATTTAAAAAAAAAAAAAAAAAACCTTAAGTCATTTAACACCTTTAACTATAGTCCCCCTGTCTTTCAAATGAAATATTTAGTAAAGTATGTTGGCTGCATTATAGTCAGCTTTTGAAAGAAATGTATTGTTCATATTCTGAGGTAATAGGTTCAATCACTTTAATATGAAACATTCACTCCTCTATTTTTCAGCACTCACAATACACAATGAAAATTCCTAAGGAGGGTATTTTGGTTTGAATGGGGGAGGGGAAAGGGTGAAAATGGGAAGGCAAGAAAAATAAAAAATAAGGAAATTCTCCCCACTCCATAGAAAAGAACCAAGTCTAGCTTTAAATCTCTAAATTAAATAGCAAAGAATGAACTAATTATCTTAGTATTGAAAGCAAAAACATTTTAAAATATGGTAAGAGGAAAGCTTTCATGTGCCTCCTCATAAAATGTGCTAACAAAGACCTATCACTTCACAGTGTTCCTTGCAAAATACATAATAAGAAGGAAACACCAGACAAACCCAAATTAACTAGTCTCAGTTCTTCAAAAGATGGGAGGGAAAAAAAACGGCAAGGTGAACCACCCCACAAATTTAAAAAAATTAAAGAAACATAACAATGAAATGCAATGTGCATTCTACAGATGGATCCTAGACCAGAACAAAAGAAATTCTGTCCTTCATTATAAAGGACATTATGAAGCAATTGGCAAGATGTGAGTAAGGTCTACAGATCAGAAATTGTTATCCATGTTAATTTCTAACTTTGCTAACTATATTGAGGTTATGTGAGAGAAAATTCCTATTTGAGAAAAAACACATATTAAAATATTAAGGGGTAAAGGGGCACCATGTCTACAATTTACTCAAATGAATCAGAAAAATAAAGAATGACAAAGCAAACATGGCAAAAAATTACCATTTGCTGAATATGGGTGAAGGACAAATGAGACTCTTTGTACTAACTTTGCAAATTTTCTCTAAGGCTAATTATATTTTTAACTTACTATTTTGAAATACAGTTAAAAGGAGATGATTATTCTTTATCTCCTTGAAAATGGATCACCTGAAGTTAGTCATAAAAAAATTTAAGAGGGGCCTCCCTGGTGGCGCAAGGGGTTAAGCGTCAGCACTATCAAGCTACATAGGCAGTCACTACAGATCTAACCCACATGGCCCAGTAGACCTCTGTCTCCCCTGCTGCTCCCCTTAGCAGTGTATTTCAGTCCATCCGCCCATTCTGCTCCCCACTCTCTCTGGTGCATCCTCTCACCCCCTCCTCCACACCTCTGGCCTACACCCCAGTTCTTGTATGCATAAATAAATAAATCTTTAAAAAAAATTCAAGAAATCATTGAGTGAGATATTACAAGATCATTAGACATTGACTAGAAAGATGTTTTAAGAAAATATTTTTTGATCTGTATTTTTTTTACTTTAATCATATTTTATTTACTTGCCAGTCATTTACAAAACTATGTAATTTGGGGAGTACAACTTCACACCTCAACATGTGTATGCGCTTCATTTGCCCTCCACCAAAGCTCCAGTACCAATACACAATGACAGTACCTTCCCTTTTCCTGCCTCCCCCCCTCCACTGTTAACCACCATATTTTTCAGTCTAGCAGTATTTTTGTGTTTTCCTAGTTTTGCTTCTTTTGTTTTTTATATTTATTGATGCATATTTTCAAAATATCACTTTCAAAAACACTAAAACATCTTTTTTGGAATGGGACAACTGAGTTACTAGCCAAATAAATATTAATATAGATTTTTTAATAAGACAATATAAGCTCGATGGGGACAGGGCCTTAATTGTCTGGTTTGCCAAGGCAATACTTAGAACACTTTTTGGCACATAGCAAAGTAATAATTCAATATTCAAGTAATGATTATGTCCCAGACATTAATGAAAGTGCTTTGTGTCTATTGACTCACTTAATCCTCACATGGTCCAAGAAATATTTAGTGAATGAATTAGCACTTTTTGCAGGATGACAGTTACAGTCAGTTCTGCAATCATGTAACACACCGAGTTTCTGAAAATCACCAGGTTATACATAATTGGCAATGAACACCATAGGACTTACTGGAAAATGGGGTTAGAAGCACAACACTCAAATAATTTCATCAGTGACACATTTAAAAGAATTAGCTACCTAATATTAATGGTAGCACAATTTAACACAATTTACATATGTTAAGTGATTAAGAAATACACAAATACAACAATAAATATGGCACTTTACCTTGAAAAAGACCTGAAGTTTGCTTGTGGAAGTGGACATCAGGACTGCAGCTCATGAATTATTGTGAAGTGATGGGAGGAGGGTTATCTGAAATCGGATGGAAAATTGTAACAACAGATGTGGATGGGTGTGGCTCATAACACAAGGGGTGAACTGAGGTAGCTGGCAGACTGTTTGAGTTGTGTGAATGTATATTGTCTGTATTTTAATGCAGCTCAGTTCAGCTGGGTGCAATTCACCTAAGGCAAACTCTTTCTATAAAGGGTCAGGTAGTAAATATTTTAGGCTTTGTGAACCATTAGGTCTCAGTTGCAACAATTCAACTCAGCCATTATAGTACAAAAGCAACCACAGATAATGTAAACAAATGGGCTTGGGTGTGTTCCAACAGAACTTTACCAACAAAAATAGGTCACAGTTAACTGACCCCTGACCTTGCAGACAAAATCCTGCATAAACAAATGCAAAATTTGCCTTAAGCTTAAATTGTTTCCTGATTTATAAATCTTGTTGGAACAAATTCGTATTTTCAAAACAAGCTTTACAGCAGAACTAAGTTTGGAATGCTATTTAAAAAATAACTAACATGATTCAAATATGGAAAATAGTAAACCAAATATTATTTGAAAATAAATTATTTATTTTGGATTTTATAACTCAAATGTCACCTAAAAGGCAACTGACCACTTCAAATCAAAATTAAGACAACTTAAGATAGAGTTTGAACAATCACAGTTACTCAAAATGTGTGCATTAAATTGTAAACAATCTTTAAGAAAAGCAGGTAATACTTTTGACAGTTCTTGTGAAGTTAAATTAATCAGGCTCACTCCAAGGGTACATGCGGCTTTCAAAATTTACAACATACAAACTACACTATAAGTTTTCTGAAGAACTGAAATATAACATGGTGACTACAGTTAACAACAGTGTATTATATACTTGAAAGTTGCTATAGAGTAAATCTTAAATGTTCTCACCACAACAGAAAAAAATGGCAATTATGTGAGGTGAATATTAACTAACCTTATCATGATAATCATTTCAGAATATATACATGTATCAAATCATATAGTATACCTTAAACTTACACAATGTTATATCAATTATATCTCAATGAAGTTGGAAAAAACATACTAGTTACACAAATGGCTATCCAATATTTGTATAGGAGTTAAAAATTCTAAGTTGACCTTCTTCCAAGCAGCAAACGCTAATATACAATCTTCCTTTGCTCGAGTTGCTATTCCTCACATCTGCAATTTTCCAGTCTTCTTGGTCAAAACTGTACTCATTAGCCAAGGATCAGATTCAAACGTTCATTCTATAAAGCCTCCCAGAATCCCATCAGAAATGTCTTCCTACTCTCAATTTTCACAGCAACTTAGTTTTTATTAACACAGTATTTATTACTTTATACCCTTCTTCAAAACTAGGTGTACATGTCTTATTTCCTCTCTGTGGAAATTAAGACTAATCTGTAGCCACACTAATCCCCTGTCCCAGAACTGTTCCTCTTTCACAGCCAACCTCTAACTGCTAACTCATTTTCAAGACCCAAGACAAATACCATCTCTTCAGCAAAACTTTCCTACACACCCCCAAAATTAACTTTTCTTCATTTATGATCTCTAGCACAACCAATATATGCCCATGTTAGCACTGCTTTGTACTTGCTTATTTACTTATCTCCCTTGCTAAATTAATGAAGTGGGAATTTTGTCATTACCCTCTGCAGGCTCTAGCAATGTGCCACGCCCTTGGTTGATACTCAAGTATTTGGTCAGTTAATAGAGCATGACACCAAAAAATGGAGTACAGGATACATATGCATGAACACCACTACCATCCCAATAATTTCTTAAACAAACATTGCATGGAACAGTTAATGAGAACACTATCAAGAATGGCTACTTCAAGCCAAAACTGAGACAGAATCTCACAGATGAGATCTAAAATAATGCCTATGGTACAAAACTCACAGGGTAAAAAACAAAATTGTCTAGCTCTAACATAGGTCTTTTCAGAAGTATCATCTATATAATAAAAGAAGGGCAGAAACAGAGTACACTGGATATTATTAACAAACTTCCCAGCAAAGTCTTTCCTTTCTATTAAGTATTTGCACAGGTATGTGTACATGATACTATGACACATTATATTAGCAACAAAATACTATATCCTAATAGTGTAAGTTTTAAGACAAAATGAATACATTGAATAAAGAAACTACTGTTGACTTCCAACAAAAATCTGTTATTTCCGGCCTCCCTGGTGGCGCAGCAGTTGAGTGCTGGGTTGCAAAGCTGCCCGCAGCCTCTGCAGCGCCGGTTTGATCCCCCGCTGCTCCCCAGGCACCGCAGGAGGGTCCCACATGGCGCTCAGACCGCCCGCTGCTCCCCTCAGCAGTGTACTTTGGTCCTTCTGCCTACTCTGCTCCTGCTCTGGCTCTGGTGAATTCTCTCACCCTCCCACGGTTCTGACTGTACCCAGTGCTTATATAAATAAATAAATAAATAAATCTTTTTTTAAAAAATCTGTTATTTCACCAACAAAATGGGTTTATTTTGAAATTTAAAAAAGACAGGTTGGAAAGTGGATGTCTCCTTATGAGACCCTCATGCACTTTATGAATCAAAGCCAGCAACCCCCTATATAGTCTCTGGAGGACCTCCTCCTTCCTTCAGCTGGGGAAGAGAAGCCAACAGAGACAAGGCACATTGGGTCCAGCAGTGCATGGATAATCTTCTTCAAGCCTCATCTTCATTTAATTAAGGTTTCTGCATATTAATTTTCATACCTTCATCACCATCCTTCCTTCTCCCTACCCCCCAAAAGGCAAATAAAAATTTTAAATGATTAAAACTCATATAAGCAGAATTTTTCTTAAAAAAGCTTTATATCACTAGAACATCTAGTACAAGTTCATTTTGCAAACGACAAAGCAGAGGACTAGAAAGAATGATTTGTCCAAAGTCATACAATCAGGCCTCCTTGGTGGCACAAGGGGTTAAGTGTCAGCATTATGAAGCTATCAGCAACCACTGCAGCAGAATTCAATCTCCAGCCAGGGAGGTGACCCACATGGCACAGCAGAACTCTCCTGATTCAACTCACTGCTCCTCTCAGCAGTGTGTTTCAGTCAATCTGCCTGTTCTGCTCCCCACTCTGTCTCTGGTGAACCCTCTCACCCCTTGCACCTCTGACCTGCACCCTGGCTCTTCTATGCATAAATAAATAAATCCTTTAAAAACAGAAAAAGAACTACTGTTATAACTATGTTACCTCCTCCAGAACAACTGCAGACTTTATCAATATCCATTAAAATTATCCCCATTTCATCGGTGGAGAAATGGAGGTTAAACATCTCGAATGTGTGCTATCAAACCAGTCAACAAGACAAGTATTAGGGTACAGGTATAGAAATCCTACTTAAAACATTCCCTTTACTGTCCCTAAAGAAAAACCCAAAGGCTGAAACAATCTGAACAGCGTCTGCCAGTGTCTAATAGAACATTTAAGGTCTGGGAGAAAACACTTCATACAAATCCAAGGATGGCCCATATCCTGTCACCCAACTCATAAATTTATCCAGACTTCACAAGAGCATATAAATACATATAGTTACTTTGTGGAAAAAAAAACTTTATTTCACATACCTACATCTATATAAAAGTTCCTTTTGAGAATTACATTTACCTTATCTCTAGAAATATAATATATAACTGGTCAACTATACTAAGAGTTGCCAATAATAAGAACTGACCTGATCAGAATTAAAGCCACAAAGGTCTTTTTTTCACCCTAAGCATAACATAAGCAAACATCTGGTATTGAAATGCTTTCAAAATAATTTTAAAAATTTGCATCTACTCCCCCTCCACAGGCCTGGCTTAATGCTTTCCACGTAGTGAAATGCAAACATTTTACAGATATTTTTCAAAAATCAGCCAAGTGTGCAATTGTCAACTACCACCTTAAGTAAACTTTCCAAGACATTTTCCCAACATCTCTCAATTTAGACAACTTCTGCCTTTTTAAATTTAAGACCAATAACAAGTTCTACTGCTGCCAGTTTTTCAAGTATTCATTAAGGATTAGAATACCACCTCAAATCAAATCTCCAAGTTCTTTGTAAGAAAATAAATTACAGTTGACCCTTGAGCAAGATGGGGGGTTAGGGTGCCAACCCCACCAACCAAATCCCTCCTCACAGTCAAAAATCTGCATATAACTTAAGCCCCTCTCTGTATCTGCAAGTTCCACATTAATGGATTGTACAGATATTCTGCTGGCTGAATCTCTTTATTCCCAAAGACCTAGAGAAGAATATCTAGGAGTAAATGGAACCACACAGTGCTGTTCAAAGGTCAACTGTCAAGTTTTATCTGTCAACCAGAGGTTGATCTTTCATAAAGCCAAAAATATTAAGAAACAACGAATCCTATTTATAACAAAATTTAAAAAAAATTAATAACAACAAAACAATTAAAGACTGAGCCACTGATTTTTCACAGTATGATTAGTTAGGTCATGAATTATTTTTGGCCAATTGATTTTTTCCCACCATAGATTCCTAGGAAATATTTATTATAAATATTAAAATTCATATTTGTTCCTATTTTTAAGTGCTAGAGAATTAAAGAAAAAAAAATCTCGAACTATTTTGCAAAACAGAATAAATACTTAGAATTGCTCATAATATCCCTTCCTCACATCAGAAGAGAGTCAAGAATGATTCTGTATTGTGGGTTCAACTCAAGCATTACCTGCCAGATTATCCTTTAACTATAATCATGGCTTGAAATGAATGACACTTCAGCTTGAGACAGCACTGAACACCCACTTGGAGCTCTTTATTAGTAAATAATCAGAGAGCATGCTAATTTTTAATTAATTTCCTACATTTATATATACGTGGTTCCATACAAGGGGTTTTCCACATAAGACTCTCCTGAAATTAAATGTTTCAGTTATCTATCTCCTCTGGACCAAAACAGCAAAATATTATAAAGAGCTACAAACTTATAAGACTGACAACAAGGCCTCCCTGGTGGCCTAGGGGTTGAGTCTCAGTGCTATCACCCCTACAGCCTGAGTTTGATCTGCAGTCAAGGAGCTAACCCACATACGGCGCAGCAGACCTCTCTTGTCTTGGCCACTGCCCCTTTTAGCAGTGTATTTCAGTGAATCCACCTGTTCTGCTCCCCACTCTGTCTCTGGTGGGTCCTCTTGCCCCCCATACCTCTGGCCTTCACCCCAGTTCTTCTACACAAAAATAAAAAAAAATAAATAAATAATTTAAAAAGACAACAAATGGCCATGATAGTAGTTAACATGAACTTTTTCCTTTGTAATAGTTGGGCTTAATTAAAATGGTCAGTCACATTAGATCTAGCAGCTCAAACTTATTGTTAAGAATATAAACTCTAGTTAAGACAGTTCAATTCCTGTTCCATCAATTGCAAGCTGTATAACTTTGATCAAGTTAATTTATATCGCAGTGCCTCAGTTTCCTCCTCATCTATAAAATGGGGAGCACCAAGTTTCTACCACATACACAGGGTTGTTCTAAAAATTAATACAGATTATCACGTACAGATTATCAGGTACAAATTAAAGGACAATAAGGAGCACTCAACTTTATGATCATTACTCTTACCACCAAGATCTACAAAAGTACAAAACCCATAAGAAAAATTGGCTCTGGCATAAAATGAGTAATTCCATTGAAAATTCTGTACATAACTAATTTGTTCAGCCTAAAGAAAGGAGAGAACCCAAGTTCAACTCTTGGTTTTGTTGGGGTTTTTTCCCCCAACCCATGGTTTTAAATGCAGATTTCATGAGACTTAACAAAATCTAGAGGTGATATTTAACTGTAAGGTACACTCTTCATGTATAGGAACATGAGCACCTGCTAATAGCCCGCCAACTCGCTGCACTGGTTACCTCTTGGGTGGTGAATACCCTATAAAAGTTTGTTGCACCTGGGACAATTAACACAAATTCAGAAACCAAGTCCACAATTTTCAGATTCTTAGGGTTCTATTTTCTAAGAACCAAAGTGGTCTTTTTTCCTAAAGGGAAGGAAAACATCTATCTGCCGCTTGTTAATGCAGAAAAATAGTTGTAAGTATTATAGGCTTTTTCCGAAATTCTACAAGCCAGCTAAAGTGCTCTAAAAACGTGTATGTTCCTAATAGTTGCTCAAAGGCACATTTTGCCAACTTCGAATGCAATTCTGATCCATGCTCTCTATAATTTTCTTTATTTTACCACCAGGTGCCAAAGATGCACCTCAGGGTAGGAAAATTTACCTAATTCACAATAAGGAATGCAAAATCAAATGTCAAACTGCCTGAAATGCCAGTCCCCTGGGTGAAAGTGGCGTAGATTTCATATTAACAGCCCATAGTTTTAGACACTATCAGGAGGCAAATAAAAAACACAAGAGAAAAATAGACTCAACTTAAATGGGCTTCTGATAAGAGGCGACCTGCCAGGTACCGCTTCCCGTACAATAAATCTTACTTCCCAACAAACCCACGTTAACCTGCTCCCATCCCTCATGGAATGATAAAATAAAATAGGGTCTAGTTACTTTCCCTCGAAATCTGCCCAAAAGTGAAGAAATATTTGAGGTCTGCCTTACCACCCTTTAAAGCTGGACTTCACAAAAAGTAGTGTACCGGAGTCCTCTGGAAGTAAATTCCCTTGCCTAGAGGTAAATCCAAGGATACCCTTCAAGATCTGGAGTAGAGAAGGAATGTAAATACCTGGCAAGACCCGCCCGCTCCCCTTAGAGAAAGGCTCATCTCCAGGGGCTGCAGGAAAATTCCGCAAGGTCGGGGTACTTCCCTGTCTCCAGCAGTCTAAACGCCACCAAGTCGTCCCAGGATCTCACATCCGCCCGCCCCTCCCCCTCCCCCTCGGCCCCCCTTCTTCCCCACGCAGCTTCTAGGCCCAAAGATTAGGAAGAACGGCCGGGATATCAAAGACCGCCTCCGACTTCGGGGTCGCAATCCACAGGCACCAAAGAATAAACAGAAGAGGCCAACCAAGCTTCACCGGTCACGGGAGGTTGGGAAAAGCGCCCAACCTGCCAGGCCGCGCCCCCCCACCCCCACCCCACCCCCACCCCCACCCCCACCCCGGCTTGAAGCCTACAGCCGAAACCCCGAAACCCTTCTCACCTAAAGAGAAAACGATGCCTCTTTCCGCCAAGCACCGCACAGACCTACCCCACACGACAAGCCTTCCCAAACGCCCGACTCTGAAGTAGCGAAGGCCCAGGACGTTGAGACCCGTGTTTTACCTCATGGGCTCAGCAGTCATGTTTTCGCTTCAACGCCTTGTCGGCTTCAGCTACCGTAGGACGCCGCTCTGCCCTCCCCGGCGCCTGGTTACGACAGAAATGCACTGGGCTCGTAACCGTCACTGTAGTTGGTGTTGGATCCTCCGCACAGCTCAAAGGCCGATACCACTGCCACAGCCGCAAGAGCCGCGGAAACAAAGCGACGCCGATGCAGCCGCCATTTTGTTGGGCCGAGGCTCAGGCTGGAGAATTGGCGCGTCCTCCCTCTTCCTCTTTCCGTCACTCATTGGCTAGCTCCTCCGCAGCGCAGGCTTTTTATTGGCTGCGAAAATTCACCTTCTTTGGGGGCCTGTTGCTAAGGCGGTCTACGTCATTTGATCCCCTCCACCTTTTCCAAAGGGGGTCCTATTCAGTCCCATTGACCTGAAAGTGCTAGTAACGTATTTTGACATGATTCTGAAAATGCTTTCTGATCCGTCCTCTTTTCTTTGATATATTGACAAAACAATAACAGTAATTTGCATTTATTGAGAGATTACTGTATGCACAGCACTGTACTAATCCTTCATTCGGATTATTGCATGTAATCTTTACATCTTTTGAGGCAGACAGAAGCTTGTTTTCTACATTTTCTGGGTTAGGAAACCAAAACAAAGTCCCAGAGTAGTAGAGCCAAGAATCAGGCCAGCCATAGCATTCTTAGCCACTAAACTGTATGACCATCCTAGTATATTTTCTTTCCTGTACTCTAGGCCATCATCAAATTCGTTGCTTTCATAGAATGTCTTATAGATCATGCTTTGTTTTTTATACATAATACTCATCATGCCAGCATGCATACATACGTGTGCATATGAAGACCAACTTGAGATATGCATATAAGTTTTTCAAAGTAAACTCTAAACTGCCCCTGGGAAGACACGGGCTTACCAACCACTTCCCAAGTCTGATGTGATGTTCAACTCACAAACCAAGTAGTCTAGGTCTAGTTCTTCATCATTACAGAGAAAGTTTGGTTGAATTATATTTCATGTATAATTTGGTTGTCCATTGTAATCTCTACAAATCACAAATCAGTTCTCAAATCTAAGTTTCAAATTTCATTTCCAAATGTATTCTGCCAGGCATGTTTCGGTTCATTATATTTGCTTTCTTGAAATTTACAAGACTTTCTTTTCTTTGAATTTTTTAATCTCTCCATATATTGATCAAATACTGACACAGTATATAATTGTTTCAAGGAAACATGCTCAAAAATATTGAAGTGTGTTCAATTCTCTTTTTTTCTGGTCCCCAGATTGAATATTTTTTTGATCAATTTTTCTTACTTGGCCCTCCCCTGGTAGCGCAGCGGTTGAGGGTTGGGCTGCGAAGCTGCCCGAAGCCTCTGCAGCACTGGTTCGATCCCCGGCTGCTGGGCGAGGGTCCCACATGGCACGCGGACCTCTCCTGCCGTGCCCGCTGCTCCCCTCAGCAGTGTATTTTGTCAGTCTGCCTGTTCTGTTCCCCACTCTGGCTCTGGTGAATTCTCTGACCCTCCCGCGCTTCTGACTGTGCCCAATACTTGTATAAATAAATAAATAAATAAATCTTTAAAAAAAAACTTGTTTTCTTACTTGTTTCAAATATAGGCAGTTTTTTTATATCTTAATATTTTTCACAGTGGCTATCATTGCTTCTAATTTCAGCTGTCATTTCTATTGTCTGTTGTTTTTTTTTCCCTTTATTGGCATTATTTTATTCTTTCTTATTTTCCTCCGTATTTCTTTAAAATTCTCATATATCTTTAATCTTTAGAAACTGATTTTGAAAGCTAGCACCATCTATATGAATGCAGGTTCTTTTTCCTTCTGTAATTTTTGCATTAATAACTGTTGGGGTAATTTTTGTTTATGTTCATCCTCAGCAGTCTCATTTTCAAATTATTTCCAGTTTAGGATAATTCAAGACAGTTAAGAATAACAAACACCTGAGGGACACCCATCTACAATGACTAATTTTTTACCTTTTATAATAATGTAAATGTGTGTTTTCCTCTAATGGCTTTAAAAGTATTCCCCAACTTTTTCCCTGGATAATTAAGTTTCATCTTTTGTTTTCATTTTTTTGTTTTCATTTTATTTTATATATTTTTTACATCATTTTTGATTTTTGCACAATGTTTGCATTTTCTTCTTGGTTATATTCCCCATACAATTCCCACCCCCCCTTATTTTGACCCTAATCCTTCCTCCCCTCCTCTCACCTGTCCATCCACCCATAGTGTGTCTCTGGTTTATAGTTGCTTGCTGATTTTGATTTTTGCTTTATTATAATTAGTCTTTTTCCTGGTCCCTTATTTAGGTTTTCTAAATTCCTGCTATGAGTGAGACCATCCAGTATTTTTCTTTTTCTTTCTGGTTTATTTCGCTCAGCATGATCCCTTCCAGCTCTATCCATGTTGCTGCAAATTGCATGAGTTTATCTTTTTTGACTGCTCAGTAATATTCCATTGTGTATATGTACCAATTCTCGGGATACAAGGAACATACCTCAACATCATAAAGGCCATATATGACAAGCCCACAGCCAATATCATTCTCAATGGTGAAAAGCTGAAAGTATTTCCATTAAAATCTGGAACAAGAACAGGATGTCCACTTTCACCACTGCTTTTCAGTATAATACTAGAAGTCCTAGCCAGAGTAATAAGACAAGAGAAAGACATAGAAGGAATCCAAATAGGGAAGGAAGAAGTTAAACTATCACTATTCGCAGATGACATGGTAATATACATAGAAAACCCCAAAAACTCCACAGAAAAACTAATTAAACTAATCAATCAGTTAAGTAGCAGGATACAAAATCAACACACAAAAATCAGTAGCCCCCTATACACAAACAATAAATCTGAAGAAGAAGAAATCAAGAAATTTACAAGATTTTTTATGAGCATTTTTTGAATGGAACACTTTGACACTCTGATAGATTCCTGTAACTTTTTTTCAAGTAGGGTAACTTTTTAATCAAGACAATCTTGTACACACTTCAAGTCGTCGTTCAAATAGTCAAGTACCATTACAACCATAAAAAAAAAAAAAAACAGCCTTCTGTACCTATATACTGATTTTCTTCTTATCTTCCATATGCTATCATTGAAACATAAAATTTTTAGTAGTCTTATATCCTTGGTAAATGCAGTTAATTTGAAGAGATCTATTCCATTACAATACAGCACACAGCTTTTAAACCTAGATTTTAGACACAAGAATTTTTTTTTTAATAATAAATTTTATTTTTATATTCCCCATACAATTGCAGCCCCCCATTCTGACCCCAATCCCTCCCCTCCCGCCCCCGCCCCCCTAAAAGTGTCTCTGGTTCATAGTTTTTTGTTGATTTTGATTTTCACTTTCTTATAGTTATTCATTTTCCTGGTCCCTTATTTAAGTTTTCTAGATTCCTGCTATGAGTGAGACCATCCGGTATTTTTCTTTTTCTTTTTGGCTTATTTTGCTGAGCATGATCCCTTCCAGCGCCATCCATGTTGCTGCAAATTGCATGTGTTTATCTTTTTTGAATGCTGAGTAATATTCCATGGTATATATGTACCACATCTTCTTGATTCAGTCATCTATTTTGGGGCATTTGGGTTGTTTCCAAAGCTTAGCTATTGTAAACAGTGCTGCTATAATCATAGGGGTGCAGGTGTTCTTTGGAATTGATGTTTCTGTGTCCTTTGGGTAAATACCTAGGAGTGGAATTGCTGGATCATATGGAAGCTCTATGTTTAGTAGGTCCAGAAATCTCCACACAGCTCTCCACAGTGGTTGGACCAGTTTGCACTCCCACCAACAGTGCAGAAGAGTTCCTTTTTCTCCACACCCTCGCCAACATTTGTTGTTGCTAGTTTTTTTAATATGTGCCATTCTCACTGGTGTAAGATGGTATCTCATGGTAGTTTTGATTTGCATTTCCCTGATGACAAGTGATGTTGAACATTTTTTCATATGCCTGTTGGCCATTTGCATTTCCTCTTCAGAGAAGTTTCTTTTTAGCTCTTCTGCCCATTTTTTGACTGGATTATTTTCTTTGTTGTTGTTGAGTCTCATCAGCTCTTTGCAGATTTTTGTGATCAGTCCTTTATCATTAGTGTTGGGTGCAAAAATGTTCTCCCAGTTGGTGGGGTTTCTCTTTGTTTTTGTTATTGTCTCTTTGGCTGTGCAGAAGCTCTTTAATTTGATGTAGTCCCAGCTGTTTATCTTTGCCTTCACTATCACTGCTTTGGGTGATGTAGACACAAGAATTTTTAACACAAAGCAGCTTTAAATGACAAATTCTGCAAACAGAGAAACATCTTAATTACGAAACTATAATCACAAGATTTTTAAAATATACAATAATTCACCATATTTGTGAATCATAAGAAAAATAATTCCTTTGCTATTAAAGGATGACTAACAAAGTTTTGCTGATATACTATCTCTTTTGGCAAATGATTTTCAATGAGTTCCTTTGACTATATTTTAGGGGAAAATTCAGAAGTCATGCCTCAAATTTTTCATCAAGTTGTCTCAGAAATCAACTAAGAACCTGTTCGTGGACTCTTGACCAAGTAATTTGTGTAATTTGTGAATTTGTTTATTTTCTTGGAAAAAAGTAAATTCTCTTTAGGAGAGTAAGTTGGATAAGAAGATAGGTACTCTTATTTTTTATAAACAAATCACAAGTTCTGACTTTCATGTCAAAATCATTATGTGTTGGCCCTATCTATGAAAAATTTTAATACATATGTACTTTAATCCAGATATTTAACTTCTAGAACTGTATTCAACAAATAAATTCTCTTTTTTAAAGATTTATTTATTTATGCATACAAGAGCTGGGGTACAGGCCACAGAGGCAGGGGCGGGTGGGGGGAGAGAGGATTCACCAGAGACAGAGTGGGGAGCAGATCAGGTGGATCTATTGAAATACACTGCTCAGGGTAGTAGCAAGTGAGATAGGATAGATCTACTGTGCCATGTGGGTTAGCTCCCTGGCCAGGAATTGAATTCGTGCT